GGTTGGGTGGGGTGGGGAAGGAGGAGGTGTGTTGATGACTTCGGGGGAGCCGGGTGGTGTTGGCTGCTGCACGGGGGCTATGAGAGGAGGAGGGAGAGGGGGGATATGGGAGGATGGAGGTGGGGCAGGTTAGGGTGGATGGGTTGATGACGCTGAAGTTGTTGGAGATGACCATGGTCGACGGTAGGAGCGGGATGGGAGGTCGTAGTTGCCGACGGTGACCGTTGCATTACGCCAATAAATTCGCGGTCCAAGCTGGTACAACCACGGTCGTCCGAGCACGCCTTCATAGCCGCCGAGGTGCATTTGCTCGAACGTGACCGTCGCCTCCAGACTTCCGAACATGCAGTGCACGGGGAGGAGAGTAGGTCCGCAGCGCCGCCGAGTACCATCTGCCATGATGACGTCCTGTGGGTTGCTGTTGGGATCTTCGGGAAGAGAAATCTCAGCTGCAATTGAGGGAGAGAGAAAGTTTGCTGAAGCGCCGGTATCGAGTAGAAAGTCAACATAGCGATCCTTTATTTTTGCCCATAGAATGATAGCGGGGAATGGGGCGTTTGATGTGGTGTAGAGTTCGGAGGTGCCGATGGATAATGGGGTCGGGAGAAGCGGGGCATGCGATGCGCCAGAGGTCTGCCCCACTGCTACTGGCGCTGTCCGTTTCCCGGAGACCTTTCGAAGTTGCGGCGGTTCGGGCAGTGTCGCTTGATGTGGCCGACTTTCCCGCACGAGTAGCACGTGAGCGTGGATTGGTTGCGTGTGCGCTGGTCCACCACACCGAGCTCCATGGGAGTAGGACCGTTGGTGCGGTTGGTAGGTCCAGCTGTAGTGTGCTGCCCGGTTCGTCCTTGGAATCGCTGGTACGCTGCAAAGTTGATGGTGTCAAAACGCTCGGCGACACGAATCATCTCATCCAACGTTGCAGCGCCACGGAGTTCAACCTCGGTGCGGATTTTTGGCTTCAGCCCACGCTTGAATTTGTCCATCTGTTCAGCAGCAGGGATGTCAGGAATCTCAAGCACGAGCTCGCGGAAGCGATTGATGTACTCAGCGACCGAGCGGTGTTGGCGTTAGTCGGCAAGGTTGTCACGCGCGCGCTCGATGGCGTTGACCGGTTCGAAGTTCATCAAGAGCGATGCAGAAAATTCTTCCCATGTTGAAATTGTAGCGTGGCAGCTCTGCCACCAAGTAGCAGCAGCTCCCCGCAGCATCATGCCGGCGTGCCGAGCCCACTCCGCCCGGTTGACATGACAAAGGGAGAGGTATTCCTCCACTTGGAAAAGCCACCGTCGCACCGGTAAGTGACGTTTTCCAGGGATGAACGGTTCAGGTTCGGGTGCCTTCGGTCGTGCAGAAACCACAGCAGGTGCTGGCGCCGGCACCTGTGTGCCCAGGAGTCCACGTTCCTGGAGTTCGCCGAGAATCCGGTCACGCACCTCGCGTTCAATCTCTCGGCGCATATTAGCAACAAACTCGTTCCAGAGTTCCGGCGTCATATCCGACGGCCCAGCCATAGGGTCTAGAATATGGCAGGAGCGTGCGAAATAACAAACCAGGCTCTGATACCAGTGAAACGAGCTAGGCAGGGAGATGGCTGCCTTAGTAGGCTTGGAAAAAGAGTATAGAGTGCTCTCTGGAATTCTCTGGAAATTGCACTATGACTTTAACAAATTTCACACACAATTTTTATAGGATGCATTCACAAATCGAGTCGCACTACCAAGTCGCGACACTAGAATTTCTTATTGGTAACTCTACCCCTTGAAATGAACCTTGCCGTGAAATTCAGAGATTGATTGCGATGCGGGATTGGGCGGCGAGCTTGGTTACGGGGCTGTAATTTCGTCGGCACCGTTGGCGAAGTCGGCGAGGGGTCGGAACTTGATTTTTCTGCGTTTCGTGATTTTCGCGCGAGGGTGTGGTTTGGGCTGCGTGTCTTCAGGTGGGCGCCCAAATGTTGGAAGGGGAGGCTGACCAATCCCAACCTTGCGTGGTTTGGGAGTTTGCAGCCTCCCACTAGCCGGTGGGTTGGCACTGTGCGGCTGCCCAACAGTAACAGTGGGCTGCCGCACTGTTGCAGTTGACGTGGTGGGGCTTGCCATGCTGCACGCATGGCTGAACTAGTGTCAGAGCGAACCCACATCGCCATGTCTTGAAGGTTCAGAACAAGAGCGCGATGGGCCAATACCACATCGCGGGCATACAATTCCAATTTCCAGGTAGCGAAACAGGTGGTTACCAGATGTATGGAAATGGGAGGCTCGACAGCATTTTTCGGGCTGGCTCGTCATCCCGCCAAAACAAAAGATGTAACCAGAATCGTTCAAGGCCGGGGGTGGAGAAGAAAAGTAACTCCTTCCGATTGCACAGAACCACACTTCACCACACCACTTGAACCATATGAAGCACAAATCGGCTTTCTTCCCTTCGCCTTGGACGATACTGTCAGATCCACAATGGTCACCCTTGGAGTTAGACTAGCATGCAAGCACGCCAGCTCACTCCCAGATTAGCTCCACTCCTCTCTGCCTCCACGTCACATCACACCTTAGCACGCCAAGCAAGCCAGACAACATTTGGATTCTACCCCACTTCAGCGCGCTTAGGAGCTATATTATCTATGGCTCGTAACAAGCAGGCACTCATGCTGACTCGCTTTCAGTTTTCCTTGCTTCCATCACGTAACGGATCTACCCCGCTCTTACGGCCCGCACATCCAGCTGGTCGCCACTAGCCTCCTAAATCGTGACCACCGAAGCTCGCAGGCTCTCTCCCGTACCCACAATCGAGCCTTGAACCAATATATCAGTTGTAACCAGTTCATCTCCCGCGCCCACAGAGGCACTCGCGGTATATCTCTCGCCCGTACTCGCGTGTTGGTGCCCCGCGCTTTTGGAATCTCTGTTGAGATCGCCGGGCCCTCACTCAGCATCGCGCAGCATTTAGGTGAGTTACCGTATCCGCGCTATCCACTCCCCTGGTTTGCTGCCATTCCGCGCACACACTTGCTGCAGTGACGCTCGCTCCCGGTCGCCTTGCTCCCCGGTTCCGTGTGTACGCATAATTGTAGGCGGAAATATGTTTTTAAACTCGTCGCTCTCATTTTCGTATTTCTCCCCACCACACTCTGTGCTTACCTAAACGCGCCGATTCTCGTGGAAAGGTGGCGGCGACGCTTTCGTGTCAGCACGTTGCATTAGGCACAGTAAGAAAGGTGAATCGACCGTCTGTAACGTGCAAATGTGTAATCTAAGCCGTATAAATAAAAGTGGCACGTGTGATAGTCTCACATTGCTATGCTACGTAACTATTAGTTGCCCCTGGTGGTGGCTGGTGCATGCGGGCCTCTGAGTCGAAGGCAAGGGGGGTTCAGTCTCATATTTCTTCCTGCTCGATAGTATTACAGTTGCTCTCCCTCGGGTGCATTCGCGGATGACAAAGATGTCGCACAGCACAACACATGTTTCCCCAGGCTTTCCATCATAACGTCATTTTCGCAAATGGTTGGGGTCCAGGGTGCGTGTGTGGCCACAAGCCTGTACCCGAGCCTGCTTGTATCTTGTTCGACCCTAGTGTTGGTGTGTTTCTCCTCCCAAACCAACCAGCGCGTTTTGGCGACTTGAACACCCCACACATCAATCGCACAAAGCCTGTGTAGTGGAGCTCAGAGCAGCTGGAGTGGCACACCAAAGCTGCCTCAGTACATAATTCGTGACTGCTCAGAAAATAGAGATACGTCTGGCATCCTAGCCGTCAGGTGCGGAATCACGAGGGAAGGCCCTCACACCCCGATTACGGATTGCTCGTGCCTCCATTTCCTTACGCCACGATCCCCCTTCCATTTCCTGCCCGTGCCCGTCGGGCTGCTACTCCCTTTTTGACGCGCTGTTAATTCACTGATGGTTGCACTGCCAAATTTTCGCGTCGCCGTGCTACACCATTTCCATCCCGCGACCACCATATTCTCGCGCGTACGTTCCCTTCCCGTCGCGGCAGGTACCTTTGATCCTTCGCGACGGCTCCCCTCTCTCACCTGTGACTACACCTTCTCACCTGTGAGTCGCTTCCCTCACGCCTGGGTTTCCACCTCTCCGGCCTGTAAAACGGACGCACACGTTGCCATACTGGGTTACTCTCGCCGCCATTCATTTCCCATGACACTACCATTCCTTCCCCTCGTGCATCTCCCCCTTCACGCATCCATTCCCTCCCCCCACACTTCAATTCCCTCCCCCGCACACATCCGTTCCCTCCCCCTTCACACTTCCATTCCCCCCCCCTCACACTTCCATCCTCCCCCCCCTCCCCCTTTCTGCTTGCATCCCTCCCCCGCACACTTGAATCCCTTCCTCTCACGCTTGCATCCCTTCGTTCATTCGTTCGTGCAGCAAATAGAGCAAGCTGCTGCGCGCTTTTGCGTCTCCCTTACCACCTTTTTTCCCTGCCCCCTCCCTGCCCTTGCCTGGCGCACTAATCTTGTTCCCTCTTTGTGTCTGTGACTGTGTTTTGTTCTGTTCATTGTTGGATGGATGGTGTGATTGCAGAGATGGGCAGCGGCCAGAAGGAGTTGGCGGTTTTTGTACTGCAGGGAGGATCTCTCTCCGACCCTGCGTTTGTGGAGGAGTCTTTCGTGCAAGCGACGGAGAACTACCTGGGGAATTCGTACCCTGTGGATATTCCTCACGCGTGCACCCCAGCAGCCCTTCTGATCCGTGCTGGCTTTCCTGTTCCGCCAGAAGATCAGTTGATGTAAGTGCTGGTTGACGTAATGGTGAGTTGGGCCAGTAAGGGGGAGGAGGAGGCCAGGAGGGTTTTGTACCTCCCCTCCAATATACCCTCATGTTCCTCCCAATCCTTTTGATTTTCCCTTTCCTTCTCTCCCTCCTTCACAGAGACTGGCCGACCGTTCTGCCTGGAAAGTTTCCAAAAGTTTTTTCAGAAGTGGTTCAGGACGAGCTAGTCATAAATAGCGTGCTCGCGCGCTACGAGCCGATGGTAAGTTAGAGGTCAACTCTAGTTAGTGCGGTGAGATGGTGGGGCAGGAAGTGCGGTGAGATGGTGGGGCAGGCAGTGCGGTGATGGTGGGGAAGGTAGTGCGGTGATGGTGGGGAAGGTAGTGCGGTGATGGTGGGGAAGGTAGTGCGGTGATGGTGGGCAAGGTAGTGCGGTGATGGTGGGGAAGGTAGTGCGGTGATGGTGGGGAAGGTAGTGCGGTGATGGTGGGGAAGGTAGTGCGGTGATGGTGGGGAAGGTAGTGTGGTGATGGTGGGGAAGGTAGTGCGGTGATGGTGGGGAAGGTAGTGCGGTGATGGTGGGCAAGGTAGTGCGGTGATGGTGGGGAAGGTAGTGCGGTGATGGTGGGGAAGGTAGTGCGGTGATGGTGGGGAAGGTAGTGCGGTGATGGTGGGGAAGGTAGTGCGGTGATGGTGGGGAAGGTAGTGCGGTGATGGTGGGGAAGGTAGTGCGGTGATGGTGGGGAAGGTAGTGCGGTGATGGTGGGGAAGGTAGTGCGGTGATGGTGGGGAAGGTAGTGCGGTGATGGTGGGGAAGGTAGTGCGGTGATGGTGGGGAAGGTAGTGCGGTGATGGTGGGGAAGGTAGTGCGGTGATGGTGGGGAAGGTAGTGCGGTGATGGTGGGGAAGGTAGTGCGGTGATGGTGGGGAAGGTAGTGCGGTGATGGTGGGCAAGGTAGTGCGGTGATGGTGGGGAAGGTAGTGCGGTGATGGTGGGGAAGGTAGTGCGGTGATGGTGGGGAAGGTAGTGCGGTGATGGTGGGGAAGGTAGTGCGGTGATGGTGGGGAAGGTAGTGCGGTGATGGTGGGGAAGGTAGTGCGGTGATGGTGGGGAAGGTAGTGCGGTGATGGTGGGGAAGGTAGTGCGGTGATGGTGGGGAAGGTAGTGCGGTGATGGTGGGGAAGGTAGTGCGGTGATGGTGGGGAAGGTAGTGCGGTGATGGTGGGCAAGGTAGTGCGGTGATGGTGGGGAAGGTAGTGCGGTGATGGTGGGGAAGGTAGTGCGGTGATGGTGGGGAAGGTAGTGCGGTGATGGTGGGGAAGGTAGTGCGGTGATGGTGGGGAAGGCAGTGCGGTGATGGTGGGGAAGGTAGTGCGGTGATGGTGGGGAAGGTAGTGCGGTGATGGTGGGGAAGGTAGTGCGGTGATGGTGGGGAAGGTAGTGCGGTGATGGTGGGGAAGGTAGTGCGGTGATGGTGGGGAAGGTAGTGCGGTGATGGTGGGGAAGGTAGTGCGGTGATGGTGGGGAAGGTAGTGCGGTGATGGTGGGGAAGGTAGTGCGGTGATGGTGGGGAAGGTAGTGCGGTGATGGTGGGGTTTCAGTGAATGGAGAGTGAGATGCATGCTATTGCTTCTCTTTACCACCTTTTCCCTCCGCTCACCCACCTCCCGCCTCCCCCCTTGTTTTTGGCAGTCGTTGCGCAAATAAGTTCATATGTATTCATGTACTTACTATTGTCTCATCCCACATTGGTTCACCATTAAAACTAATTTGTACCGTATGACCTCCCTCTTTTATATATATTTTCAGAAGGAGTTTTCCCAACTCAATGCAAAGAGATCGTTTCTGGAATCATTGTGTGATCTTCCACACAAAGATGCAATCGTCTATGAGGCTACGTGTGTTGATGATCCGCTCGGGATCATGCCGGAGAACTGTATCATTGCAGTCAACAAGTTGGGGGCGAGTGGATGTACGAATTCTGCTTTGTTATGTGTATGCACGTTATTGTTGGTTATATGTTTCATTTTTGCCATCTACCAGGTTTGTAAAAGCCCATCTGAACAATGCGTGGTTCATTTTCCCTCTGTATTCTCTTCCCCCCCTTCCATCCCGCACACTTATGCCTCAGGTCCATATTATAGACTCAAGCAGCAACGTGTACTGCCATTTGGTGCAACATACCGGAATCAGGCAGTACGACAACATTGATGGATCGTTTCTCATCGAATTCGTTTGGAATGGTCGCGAGTTCATGTTCTCGTTCAATACGGAAGTCGGTGAAAAAATATGCCGTGAAATTCGCATCCAATCACAACAGCAGGTACAATAGATTCAAACCTTCTAGTGTAGGCGAAAGGCAATAGAAAGGGGTGAGGGGGGGGTACTCGGGGTTAATTTTTCTCCTTTGGTTTCTTTCCGTCTTTTCTGCTTCTCTGCCAGCTTTCTTGGCCCCCCTGTTTCCACTAGTTCTCCACTCCTGTTGTTGAACTTCCTACTCCATATCTTCTCCCACTCTCTGGCCCCTCAATTCCCAGCAAGTTCCCTCCCCTCCCCCGTTGACTGAGCCACCTATCCAGTCCACCGAGTCACTTACACAGTCCATCGAGCCACGTACCCAGTCCACCGACCCACCTACCTTGTTGGACGAAGGCCAAGGGATAGAGAAGGGAGGAAAAAGGGCAAGCAGGAGGGAGCGCAACCTTGCGGCATTTATATTTTTTTTACGACAGTTGCACTCCCTCCCCTCCCTCACGTCCTCACGTCCCGTGCGTCTCCCTTCTCACCCACTCCCCGCCTCACACTTTTCTTCTGTCTGTCAGATGAAGGAGTTGAGGCACCGCTCGTTAGAAGAGCGGAAAAGGCTGGTAGCTAGTTTGGCGACCGCCAAGCAGCAACTGGAGGACAGCCGGGCGGAGGTGAAGGAGGAAGAGACTGAGTCACGTCATTTTTGCTTCTCTGCCTGCTCACTAGTCCCGCTATTTCCACATGTTTTCCGCTTCTTTGCCTGCTGTTATGCCCATGTTTCCACTTATTCCAGCTTCTCTGCTTGCTATAAGTCCCCCTGTTTCTTCTCCCCTGTTTCTTCTCCCCTGTTTCTTTTCCTTGCCATTTGCACATGAAGCTGAAGGCGGTGGGCAGGCGAGCACAGGAGCAGACGCAGGGATGCCATGTGATGTGAACCCCCTTTCGACTTTTCCTTTGCGCCCCCATGCCTCACATGTGGAGGCAGCTGTGCGGGAGAAGCAAGCCCTGGAGCAGCGCCTGCAGAACTTGGAGCTCTCATCGGCCGACCAGGTGAACCCTCTTTTCCACCTGAGGCGCTGGCCTTAGGTCAAACCTAGCGTCAATGTGGGAGCGGCATGCCTTGGAACAGTAGCATGTAGGAGAGGCTTGCATCTGATACTGCTTTGACCTTATCATTTCCTTATTAACAGGGGCGGATGGAGGGGGGACGGAGGGGGGGACGGAGGGGGGGACGGGGGGGGGGGAGAGGGAGGGAAAAGGAGTGCGTGCAACTTTGCGGTACTTTTCTTTTTCGTATGATCGTTGCACTCCAGTATCTGAAACTGCTTTAACCCCAACTCCACTGGTTACTTCTCCCTTCTCCCCGTCACGTCCTCACGTCCCGTGCATCTCCCTTCTCCCCCACTCCACGCCTCACCCTTATGTTCTGTCTGCCAAATTAAGGAGGTGAAGCTGTGCTTGACAAAGGAGCGAGAAGGGCTGGTGGCTAGTCTGGCGACCGTCGAGCAGCAACTGGAGGACAGCCGGGCGGTACATGCCCAGCTGAGGGAGGAGGTGAAGGAGGGACATCGCTATTGCTTCTCTGCCTGCTCACTTGTCCCGCTATTTCCACATATTTTCCGCTTCTCTGCCTGCTGTTATCCCCATGTTTGCACTTCTTTCAACTTTCCCCCCCAGGCATTACGCTAGCAGCTTACCCATTTCTTCCTCTGTCGCTCCCTGTGTGCTACAGGTGCCCACCTTTCCAGCCGGTCCGCCCCTGCAGGTCAACCCTTGGAGTCCGTCTCTGAGGGCGTCTCTCCTCACCACCCTTCAGCCTCCCCTCACAGCCGATCCTGTGAGTCCATTTCTTCCCTTACTTCCAATGAATATCTGGGTGACTCCGTATTTGACTCTGAGCGTTTGTGCCCTCATGCTGACCTGCAACCACATGCGTTTGGTCATATGCCAGCCAGGCTTAAGGCGCTCAGGGAAGGGAAAGCATGAGAGCCCTAGGACATATTTCCTCATGGAGCATCCCAACATGCTTCCACACCACCCCCTATCTCACCCCCTCCCTCACCCCCTTTCCGCCCTTTCACTTCCCTCCCCGGCTTATCTGCAGGGCACCACCAGCACTCAGAGCCGCTGCACATGTTAGCCAGCTGCGTGCCCAGGGATGGAAAAGCAGGAGAGAGAGTGGACATGTTCCTCCTAGAACATCCCAATATGCTTTCACCCCTCTTTCACCCCATTCCTTTCCTTTTTCTTCCCTTTCCTTCTCCTCTGCAGGGCTACCACCAACATTCAGAGCTGCTGCACATGCCAGCCAAGCTCAAGGCACTCAGGGAAGGGAAAGCAGGAAAGCCAGTGGACTTCCCCCTTGGTATGTACCCCGTGCTACCCTGCTCCCACCTCTCCTCTTCCCTGTTGCTTGCCATTGCCACTATGTTTCAACCTCTGCCTCTGCCAAGCTACATGCCACCATGCCAACCATCTCTTTCCTCTCTTGAACTCCACGCATCAGGCTTTTGAGGCGCCTCAAAAGTCGTCCCTCTGCCAAGTTACAAGCCACCGTGCCAACCATCTCGTTTTTCTCTTGTTGACCATGCATCAGTTTCCCCCCCCCTCTGTGCCTCCCTCCCCCTCCCACTCCACTATACAGGCAGTAGGAGCTACGAGGTGGATAGGGTGCTGGGAAAAGGGGCATATTCGAGGGTGTATGGCGCCACAGAAACCCTTTGCTGGGGCGAGATTCAGTGCAGAGAGCAAGTGTTAGTGTATCTTGCGGCTCTCTCTGTGCCTCCTTCCCCCGCCCATTCCCACTCTGCAGGCAGCAGGAACTACGAGGTGGATCGGCTATTGGGAAAGGGTGCACACGCAAAGGTGTATGGAGCAAGAGAGACCCCAGCTGGGGTGGCAGATACTGCTACCGAGAGCACTGTGGCCCTCAAGGTACGCAGCAGCTCCTTGTGTGTGGGTCGGTGTGCGGTAGGGCAGTTGCGTGGTGTGCTAGAAGATGTGTGCTCTGCAAGTATTCCAGTTGCATGTGTGCGGCCACAGAGAGCACTGTAGTGTTCCTCACTGTGGCCCTCAAGGTATGCAGCAGTTCCTTCCTACCCTTGTGTGTCGGTAGGTGTGGTGGTGCATGTGTGGTCAATGTGCCTTTTGGTATTCTCCTGCTTACAGCGTACGAAACCCTTTACGACTTCTAAACGTGGGATCGTAAGAATCGCCCGATATTAGGATCTGGTTTGGTTATTCAATCTTCCTATGATAACTCATCAACCTATCCCATGTCTCGCCTATGCGTCCATCCCATGTCACTTTGTGTGGCAGCTTCACGCCAAGCCATGCCCCTGGGAGTTCTACATCTACCGTCAGATTCACATGCGAATCGACGGCCCACAGGTGCCTAGGCTATTGCCCTTCTTCTTCCCTGTCCTTCATCCATGCATCTTGCGTCACTTGGTTCCTCTAGTTCTGGCCTTAATACTCAGGCCTGATGCCCGTCCTCCTACCATCGTTCCCATATCCCATCCCTATCATTCTCCCTTCTTCCCTCCTCCGGCTCACTTCTCCCTCCCCTTCCACCTCCTCCCCACTCTCCCTGCCCTGCCCACCAGCGGCAACTGTTTGGCTCGGCATCAGCCTACCACGAGTTCTCCAATGCCTCCATCCTCGCTTGCTCCCTTGGCACCAGCGGCACTCTGCAGGTACGCTGGCATGTGCATGTGAGCATATGTGGTGTAATCATGCAGGTGAGTGTGCAGGTGAGTGTGCAGGTGAGTATGCATGCGAGTACACGCACGAATCCCTTGTGCCTCCATCCCCGCAAGCTCCCTTGGAACCAGCGATACTCTGCAGGTGCATTGGCATGCGCGTGCTGGAGTGCACATGCACACACCCCGTGGTGGTGAAGAACGTGTTTAGAGGCCATTTCCATGCTTTCACTTCTCATCCCCACCAACCACACACCCCTTCAGGACGTGGTGAACGTGTTCAAGAGGCAGGGCAAGCCGGTGCCGGAGCCCCTGTGCGCGTTCTACACGGCGCAGATGCTGAGAGCCGTGGAGGCCCTCCACGCTGCACACATCCTCCATGGCGACATCAAGCCCGACAATTTCCTGCTGCGGTTCGGGTGCATTCCTTAAATGGTTCTGCTTGCTTCTTGCTGCTTGTTGCTTGCTGCTTGCTCCTCACTTTGTTCTATGTGTTTCAACTCTTCTATTTCCTAAGTATGTGAGCCAATGGTAAGCTTTTTGAGTCACTGGAAAGTAACCATTTATAGGACGCCTCTTGAATATGCTGCTATATTTTCCCTCGAGCTGAACATGTAAGAGTCCTACGTGCCTGGGTCTGATTGGCGTGTGAGTTTCATTGCAGAACTGACATTGAGAACCCCAAGGAGATGGTCGCTGCTATGGAGACCGGTGCACCTTCCACGGTATGGATTTTTCCTCACTCCACTCTCGATCTCAGTGATCAACCCATTTTTCAGGCACAGCTAGTCACATATGTACAATAGCATGACTGTATCAAGTGAGCATTATTTGTGGCAAGCCAGGTTGGTACCACATTCAGTGTAGCAAGTCCTGTAACCGGTTTAACTTTGTACCTGGTTCAGCAGCAGCACCGCTCTCTTTTTGAACCGAGTCAAATGCAGTTGCAACAGCAGCTAACATATGTTTCTATTTCTGTGATTCGTTTTGTTCCTATCATTAAACATCCCCTGTTTCCTGCTGCTATTCCCTGTGCGCTGTCTACTCTCACCCAATCCTCGTCTATCGCCCCTCATCTGCCAGTCCATCCTCATCATCCGTCTACCCTTTCCTCATCTGCCACTCCTCATCACCAATTCCCACGCCTTCCCACTCCTCCCCACTCCTTCAGGGCCTCACCCTGGTGGACTACAGGCGCAGCATTGACATGCGGCATTTCCCAGAAGGCTCCTCCTTTGTCTCTGACAGTGGCACGGAGAACTTCCAGTGTCCAGAGATGGTGGAGGGGCGCCCGTGGACCACCCAGGTATGGTGGAATGTGGTACGTGCGTGGTACAGTGTGGGACGTGTGTGGTACAGTGTGGTATGTGTGTGGTATGGTGTGCCTTGCAACTTCCGGTGTCCAGAGATGGTGGAGGGACGCTCGTGGACCACCCAGGTATGACAACTCTGGTACGGTGTGGTATAGTGTTGTGCGGTGTTACATTTGTCCATTGTATGCTTTTCACAGCTGCAGCAGCTGCTTGTGAATGAGGAGAGGGGGGTTCTGTAGGGATTACTGTATGCTCTTGTTCTTATATTATATTAGGAGAAGCGGTGTGGGGTTCGTTATGGCAGGTGCTCTGTTCTAGTTTCCCCGTCAGGCAATGACAGACAGCAATGTGTGCCTTCTTCGGAGCGACACCCCCTCCTTCATTTCATGCACCCCAAAACTGCCCCGCAGTCTTCACTCTTTCCTCCAGCCACAGCTAACTGCATCACTGGCTTCTCTCCGTCCCTTTTCATGCCGTTCCCATCCAGGCCGACCTGTATGCAGTGTGTGCCACAGCCTACTGTCTGCTGCACGGGCAGTATATGGAAGTAGAGAGGGTGCTTGCAGGGGAGGGAGGCACTATTGCCAGTGCCAGCGGAACAGCAGATGCGGACAGTTTCGCTGACGAAATCTCTGCTGGCTCTGAGAAGGATAAGGGTGCTTACTATCGCCCAAGGCTCCAACTCAAGAGGTCAGCCTGAATATGTCCAAGTGGTTTCCCGTCCGGTTGGTCGCCATTGGAACATTCCCTTTGCAAGATTAATCTATTATTTTTGTATGGTCATACCATCGCTTTCTGCCTTTGTGTGCACTGGCATGGATGGCTGGCAGGTATTGGAACCAGGAACTGTGGCATGCACTGTTCCACATCTACCTCAATGAGCCTGCGGGTCAGCCCGCTCCTCCTCCAACTCCAATTCGCGGCCGTTTTGAGCAGTACACGGCCGACCATGCAAGTGATGTGTCTGTGCAGCTTCGCCGTCTGCGCAACCAGCTGTAGGTCCATACTATAACAAACCATGTATATTACGGTTAGTTGCTTGGACCTAAGGTAGGCTAGTTGCTTTTGAATTGTGGCACTGGGTAGCAGCTATGTTCAGTGACCATGGTAGTAGCTATGGAGGAGCCAAGCATGCTTGAGCACCACATTAGTGTGCATTGGTTGTGTTGTGCTACTTGAGCAACACATTGGTGATTAATGAATTGAAGGTAGCAATTAGGAACAAATTTGTTTTACCATATCAAAGGTCTAAGCAATGACCACTTGAGTAACCAGAGTGTACAGGCATATTTGCCACAATCACAACCCTAAACCCTATCACAAACATTTCCAGCTTGGCTCAGCTGGATGGCCGAAACAGGATGCGCTAGATAAACAAATTACAAAATACAAGGAGACAATTGTGCCTGTGCAGCGCATTGCCGTTGATGTACGGCAAATGTCCCTGCATATCGATATAAACAGCCTCACCTGGAGCCACATCATCCACCACTTCAAAGCCTAAAACGTCTAAAGCTACACTTTCAAAAACAAACATATACTCGTCATGCCTTGCTCTGGTGTACCAGAGACTAAGCACATACGTGGGAGGCACGAAAGACATGTGTGGGTGGGAGGGATGGACGTCATGAGTGGGTGGGAGGGAGGAAGGGAAGGGCATGGGGAGGCACGGAGGAGCAGCACTTGCATGTGTCAGAAGAGGAATGGCACAGCTGGCACATGTTGGGGCTGGATTGCCAAAAAAGGTACGACACGATTGGCGTATGGCACGACTGGCGCTCCACACTGCATCCACAGCACACCCACCCTCCCTTCCCCCATTCCCACACAAACTGCACCGCCCCCACACTGCCACCAGACCCAACTAGCCCCCAACCCCACCTTGGGCTGCAGCGGGTTGGTGCGAGCAAAGAGCTCGAGTGAGTAGGCAGTGATGTGGCGCACAAAGGAGTCGGGCGCAAGGGCATACACCGCTGACGTCAGCGCCTTGAGGGAGGCCGTTACATTACAGGACGCATGCGCTGGTGAGGGGTGGTTTTGGTGGGGGCGGGGAAGAAGGATGGATGAGGCGAAGGAATGAGAAGGGGTGAGAAAGGAACTAGCATGTTGACATGGCACAGATGAGTGGGAAATGGCACATGGCAGCGAGAAGGCGGCTCTACGCTTGGAGCATTGGACAAATGTCGAAGAAGTTACGGTGTCATCATTCCGAAGATGTGAGCCCACCTCGGGCTCATTCTCCTCTTTGACGTCTTCCAAGGGATGAGGAGAAGGAAGGGAAACAATGGGAAAGGAAATCGCGTTTTGACATGGCACAGACAAGTGAAGATGGCGCATCATCCCCGGCATGTGAAGTGAGCTCACCTCAGGTTCGTTCTCCTCCTTGTCGTCTCCCAAGGGCAAGAGCAGCGTCTCTCCACACGGCTCCTTCGCCCCGTACTTGATTGCGAGACTGGGGGACGGGGAAGGAGTTGGGGGTGGGGAGAAGGGGAGGAGGGAAGGAAGGAGGTTTAGAAATGGCATCGTTCTCATTACAAATGGCGTATTACAACATTTGTATCATCATTCGACACAAGCTAGTGCGGACTAATAACGCTAGCTAGGATATACCCTATCCAAGTGGCATTAGCAAGGCGGTTTACTCTGGGGTGGGTGGTGGGAATGTTGAGTGAGCCGTTTGAAAATTGAGAAACGTGGGTGGAGGGAAATGAGCTCCAACCCACGGTTTTTGTAGTTGGAGAAGGGCGTTTAGCGCGCTTCGACGATGCCAATTGTGCAGTACAAGCAGCTTCGCTTTCACAATACACAATTTTAAAAAACACTACATGTGTGTTTAAAAATTATAATATTGAGAAAGCTTGCTTTCTTTCTTATCAATTGGCATCGTTCTCATTACAAATGGGTTCCCTGAGACATGGGCAGCGGGGGCCTTCGGTTGCGTACGAGTGCCTCTGTGTGTTGTGCCGATGACACCGCATGCGTCGAATCTTGGAGGGTACGGGAGGCTTCGATAAGAGGCTCGACGTATGGCGTAACATACATTTCCTTTGCTGTGTCGCTTCGCCATCTGCCCAGCCGTTTGAAGACTCTATCTGGCACTCCCGTGTTGGCTGCTACTGTGGCTGCACCTTTTCGGAAAGAATGGGTGCCTAGCTGCAGCTCTCCAAGGCCAACCTTTGCGAAGGCTTCCTTGCACCAGTTCCGGATCGTAGTGTAAGAAGGTGGCCTAGCCTGGCCCTCGCTGGTTGAACCGTGACCGAAGACACGAATCAATGGTCCCTCTGACCGTGGACCATAGCCAGCGAGTCGGATGAAGCGTCGGGTGCAGCGCACTGGGCAGCAGGGGTCCGCCGTTGCTGCAATGGGTATCCAAGTGCCGTGACCAGCTTGATCGGTCTTGGAATGTGGTATGAGAATCCACATGACCTCGTCGTCGAATTGGATGTCTTGCCATTTTATGGCTACTAGGTCAGAGTATCGCAGAAATCCGGAGTACATGAGGATGGGGATCAACCCTTTCTGAAATTGCGCAGGATCGTCGGACTGCAAGTAACTCGCGGCCATGTCCCGGACTTGTTGGATCGAGACGGGTTCCTTCAGACGAGTAGGGCGAGGGCAGTGTCGTTTTGCACAGTCACGGACTTGGGTGGTGAACGGTCCGGTTGTCGGGCATTTGCTCCCAGTCATGCGATGAGCGAAGCTGACCGCCGAGCACGTTAGCTGCACTACGGACAGGGTGGCTTTGCGTCGGATTGCGTGTACCAGGTACAGCGCGAGGGTCATGTCGGATGCCGGAAGGAATGGAAGGTTCACTTTTGTGCAGAAGGCTCGAAACTTGGCCCAGTATGGTTGTCCGGATCGTAGAATCGGCGCGGGACTGCGCGAGCATGTTGATCAGTTGGTCGTGTAACTTTGGGAGCAAATCTGAACACAAGGTGTAGATATTTTGAATTAGTCAAATGCCACTCGCAGTGCAGTGATTGGGCTGTGCGGTAGTCCCATGCCCGAAAAAGCAGTTGAATGGGACCCTACGTCTAGGCATTGGCTTCCGTGTGTCAGGGGGATGTGCGCGTGGATGTATGGTGCCCAAGTGCGTGGGGAGGGTTGCAAGAGTGGCCACCAGCTTGCACCTGGCCAGTGCGGAACTATCAGTGTGAGTGATGCATGGGTGCGTTGTGCGTGATGGAGGACGGCTGGGATCAGTTGAGGTGGGGGGAAGGCGAAGTTGTTTTCAGGTGTCCACGCGATCGAGAATGCATCAACTGCAATGGCTGCCGGGTGGGGAATCTTCGAACAGAATCGCGGCAGTTGGGTGTTGCGGAAGTTTGCGAAGAGGTCGATGGAGTGAGGACCCCAACGACGTTCCAAGATCCGGAACCACGGCGTTTTCAGCGCGTAATCGTCGTGGTCGACCATTTTTGAAAGCTCGTCGGCGTGTAAGTTGAGCTCGCGCGGAATCCATTCAATGATCAAGCGCGTGCCAAGCGCCATGCATGTTCGGATGATGCTCTTGCATGCCGTTGTGAGGTCGGGGCTGTGAGAGCCGCCTTTGCGAAGGATGAAGAATACGCCCTGGTTGTCCACCCGCACGAGAACGTGTTTTTGCTTGATCTTGTTCGCGTACGTTTGTAGCGCCCAAAGGACGCCTTCGATCTCCCGTCGTGTGCTAGACGTTCCTCGTAGCGGCTCTGACATGGTCGCGCTAGCTTCTTCGAGGCCACCCGGAAATGTGGTCAGAGTGGCGCCCCAACCATGAGAGCTGGCATCCACATGGATTACCGCGTCGTAGCTGTTCTTGACGTGAAAAGGTGCGCCGTTGAAACGGTCGAACTCCTCGAGCCAAAATTGGAGCTCTTCTGCTGCAGATGGGGGGATAACGACGCTGCTTTTCCATGACGGTGCGTCGTTGATCACTTGTAACATAGCATGGCTGAATGCGCGAGCGGTCGCGCCAAGTGCGACACCCATCGATGCGAGCATGCCAGTGATTCTGGCCACGTGGCGGACCGGGACTGGTCGGCATGCCTTGCTTGCGCTCAGGAGGTTCCGGATGGTTGCATGTAGTGAGGCTCGTCGGTCTGGACCGATGGAGAATCGGCCGGTATCGGTCTCAAGTTCTACGCCCAGGAATCTGAGACGCTGCGATGGTGACAGTTGTGATTTCTTCGCGTTTATCACAAGGCCTGCCTCTTTAAGATCCAATATCACCCGTTGGCAAGTTGCTTGCGCGTCGTCTTTCGACTGGCAGAGAAATAAGATGTCGTCCACGTAAGGGACGACTCGGATGCCTTGTTCTCGCCAACGCCGAGCTAGTTGCTTAATGAGCTGCGTGAAAACGAATGGAGCTGTCGCGAGGCCGAATGGTAGTGAACGGAATGCGTATGTGCGCTTGTCAAATTCAAAGCCAAGGAACTTCCAGCACGATGGGTGGATGTCGATGTGGTGGTAACCAGATTTGAGGTCAATGGAGAACATCCAGTCCCCAACGCGCGCCAGGTCGGCGACGCGGCTGAGCCCCTCGTACTTGAACTTGGGGATGATCAAGTTGGCATTGACTTTCCTCAGATCAAGAATGAGCCTGCATTTGTCTTTTTGCTCGACCACGTTGAGTGGACTTATGCACGTAAGCTCCGTTGCGGCCATCGGAATTGCCGCTCCCGTCTCTATGAGTTCTTGGATGGCGGTACGTGTGAACGTGGCATGCGTGTTTGCCCCGACATGATTGCGATCGTGGAAATGTTGCGGTGGGCCGTGGCTCCATGGCAACCAGTAACCCTTGGCGATGACGGAGAGGACAAGGCTGCTGGGGCACCATGAGCTCCACCACGCAAATGTCGCGCGGAGACGACCGCGCATGTGTGTAATAGTTCTGTCTGTAACGGCAAATTCGTACGGATCGTCGTAGCATGCCGCCTCGCACCGTCGTGCTCCTGTACATGTGAGGCCAAGTGGTATAAGGGTTGAGTATTCCATGTTAAAGCATGCGTGTGCATGTACATGTACGGGCAACCATTGATCGAAGGTGTGACGAGAATTAACCATTGAATGAAATGTCAACGAATGTGTCGGGAGTGTTAACGCATGTCAACGCATGTCTCTTCTTCTCCTCGTTTCCTCTTTTTTTTTTTTTTTGTCCCGTCGTCCACTTGGTAGGACGGTTGTGCCTGCCCTTAGTGCGTGGGGGCTGATGCCTAGGGCCATGGACACCGTTGTCCATTGTGTCTCATCTGTGCTTCTCTCTCTCTCTCTCTCTCTCTCTCTCTCTCTCTCTCTCTCTCTCTCTCTCTCTCTCTCTCTCTCTCTCTCTCTCTCTCTCTCTCTCTCTCTCTCTCTCTCTCTCTCTCTCTCTCTCTCTCTCTCTCTCTCTCTCTCTCTCTCTCTCTCTCTCTCTCTCTCTCTCTCTCTCTCTCTCTCTCTCTCTCTCTCTTCCTCCTCTTGATTTTCATAGTCTCTTTGCCAAAACCATAGGCCTTTAGGAAGGTAGTTTTTATTAAATCAACCAACACACATAGCAATGCTTTCCTAGCATGCATCATGCCACCAAGTGGCCAAACATATGGGACCGAGGGGTTGTTGTTCCCCTTCCCTCTCCTAGGCCCAAAGCCTATCCCACCCTTTACTAGGGCTGGCCTCTTGCCATCGCAAACCCCTAGGGTTGCCCACGGTCTTCGCACTCAAGAGTGCACCGTGCCTAGCGCCCAAGCGCCTAGTCCCATGGCCCGCTCCTACACCACCGGAGCGGGTCCCTGGCCGCCATGCCCGTTCCGAGGGCAGGCACTTGCCACGTGGCCCGGCTGGCCGCAGCGGAAGCATGAGCCTCGGAACCCACGGCAATTGGCCGTGGGCGGGGGGCCTCGCTTGGGTAAGAACGGCATCGGCCCGTTGTTTCCGCCGCGGTTGACACGAGCGTATCCGCTTGCCGCACGGTCCATCGCCGCCATGTCCGCGACTGCCTGCTTGAAGGGTCGAGAAGTCAGCAGGCTCTTCTGCTGGTACAGCTTGAAGCGCTTCGCCGTGCGGAAGTCGGAGGCGTCCTCCACTTGAAGCACCTCGAAACGCCCCGCGATGAGGTTGAGAGCGTGTGAGATGAGTTCGAGTCCGCCCGCCGGATCGCCACGTTGCGCCTTGTATTCGGCGTGCAGCAGGTACGCCCGCAGGTCCTCCAGCAGCTCCGCTTGCTCTCGCACGGAGTCGTTGACGAAGGTTGCCGCCGAGAAGGTAAGGTTAGAAGAAGGGAGGGGGGGGAGGTGTTCCGTGCCAATAAAATTAGCATTGTTGACGGGAGCCTCACCGGCTTCATCTTCAGAGTCGTCGGTGTCGTTGTCGACCGCTGGAGCAGGGGGAGCGGCGGTCGCTGCGTCGTTATCATGCCGGTTCGTCCGTGCTCCTCGCGTGCCTTTTTCCTTTTTTGCGGTTTCTTTTTTAGCCGACGCAGATGCGGCGGGTAGTGCAGTTTCCGCGGCTGTAACGCTGACGGGTTGCTGCTGTAGAAGGGACAGCAGCGCGTTGACCTGGTCCGGGGTCAACGCCTGCGTCAGCGCAGGGGCGGCGGTCGCGTCAGACGAGGAGACTGCAGTCCGCCTCCTCTGGCGCTGACGCGACGGTCCAGCAGCGGGTGCTGGCGTGTGCTCGGCGTCAGTCGCGTGTGCCGCGCCAGCCCCCGTCGCCACTTGCGCCACAGGTGCCACTGGCGCCACAGGCGCCACTGGCGCCACAGGGACCGAAGGGTGCTGCTGGGTTTCGGCGTTTTTGTTGACCTCGAGCCCGCCCAGCAGCACGTCCACTGCAGTCGGGGCGGACGGTCCGTCTTCTGCCCGACGCTTGTTACGGCGTTCGCCCGCAGAATCGCGGGCGTTACGGTCGGAGTCGGAAGCGGGGGTTGACGAGTTCCCGTTGTTAAGTGTCGGCGTAGGTGCCATCGTTGAGCGATTGAAGTTGAAAATGTCGCTGAGTAAAGTAGAGGGTGACTCGCCTCTAGGAAGCGATTTAATCCTAGCCAGCTTGGAGGGAAAAACTACTCGAGCGGAAATGTTGAGTGAGCCGTTTGAAAATTGAGAAACGTGGGTGGAGGGAAATGAGCTCCAACCCACGGTTTTTGTAGTTGGAGAAGGGCGTTTAGCGCGCTTCGACGATGCCAATTGTGCAGTACAAGCAGCTTCGCTTTCACAATACACAATTTTAAAAAACACTACATGTGTGTTTAAAAATTATAATATTGAAGGTAGCAATTAGGAACAAATTTGTTTTACCATATCAAAGGTCTAAGCAATGACCACTTGAGTAACCAGAGTGTACAGGCATATTTGCCACAATCACAACCCTAAACCCTATCACAAACATTTCAAGCTTGGCTCAGCTGGATGGCCGAAACAGGATGCGCTAGATAAACAAATTACAAAATACAAGGAGACAATTGTGCCTGTGCAGCGCATTGCCGTTGATGTACGGCAAATGTCCCTGCATATCGATATAAACAGCCTCACCTGGAGCCACATCATCCACCACTTCAAAGCCTAAAACGTCTAAAGCTACACTTTCAATAACAAACATATACTCGTCATGCCTTGCTCTGGTGTACCAGAGACTAAGCACATACGTGGGAGGCACGAAAGACATGTGTGGGTGGGAGGGATGGACGTCATGAGTGGGTGGGAGGGAGGAAGGGAAGGGCATGGGGAGGCACGGAGGAGCAGCACTTGCATTTGTCAGAAGAGGAATGGCACAGCTGGCACATGTTGGGGCTGGATTGCCAAAAAAGGTACGACACGATTGGCGTATGGCACGACTGGCGCTCCACACTGCATCCACAGCACACCCACCCTCCCTTCCCCCATTCCCACACAAACTGCACCGCCCCCACACTGCCACCAGACCCAACTAGCCCCCAACCCCACCTTGGGCTGCAGCGGGTTGGTGCGAGCAAAGAGCTCGAGTGAGTAGGCAGTGATGTGGCGCACAAAGGAGTCGGGCGCAAGGGCATACACCGCTGACGTCAGCGCCTTGAGGGAGGCCGTTACATTACAGGACGCATGCGCTGGTGAGGGGTGGTTTTGGTGGGGGCGGGGAAGAAGGATGGATGAGGCGAAGGAATGAGAAGGGGTGAGAAAGGAACTAGCATGTTGACATGGCACAGATGAGTGGGAAATGGCACATGGCAGCGAGAAGGCGGCTCTACGCTTGGAGCATTGGACAAATGTCGAAGAAGTTACGGTGTCATCATTCCGAAGATGTGAGCCCACCTCGGGCTCATTCTCCTCTTTGACGTCTTCCAAGGGATGAGGAGAAGGAAGGGAAACAATGGGAAAGGAAATCGCGTTTTGACATGGCACAGACAAGTGAAGATGGCGCATCATCCCCGGCATGTGAAGTGAGCTCACCTCAGGTTCGTTCTCCTCCTTGTCGTCTCCCAAGGGCAAGAGCAGCGTCTCTCCACACGGCTCCTTCGCCCCGTACTTGATTGCGAGACTGGGGGACGGGGAAGGAGTTGGGGGTGGGGAGAAGGGGAGGAGGGAAGGAAGGAGGTTTTGAGGAAGACTAACAGGAATGAGCAAGGGAAGAGAAGCAGGAGCGGGCAGGGGAGGCAGGGCAAAGGGCAGCAGCTGCCAACGAGCATTCATGATGGTCGGGCGGGGGACAGGATGGGGAGATGGTGCACGAGCAGAGGAATAGAGGCGAGTGCATGCACAGGGCAGGAAGGCAGTGCACGCACAGGGCAGGTACAGATATGTGAGGGGCTTACCTGGTGGCATCTTCATCTGTGTGCATGCATGTCCACTCCCCTAAAGATTTGTTGGGATGAGGGAAGATATGGGCGGATGAAGGGGGGGAGAGGGAGATAAGAGAGTGAGCGCATGGGGGGCAACACATATACTCCATGCACGTGCAGACCATCCATGCCATGACGCCATGCACCATCTCATCACAGCATGTCATAAATGGAGTGTGGGCGGTCTCAAGAGAGCATGCCACGCCAAGCACTACTGGTGCCTCACCATGCCCACAAGCTCCTCTGCTGTCTTCTCAAACTTCTCCTTCACCTCCCTGCACTCCTGGCATGAAGGCGCAAAGACGAGGGCGCACCTGGGATGAAGGCGCAGAGAGGAGTGGTGGGTGCAAGTGGTGCGAGTGGTGCTGAAACATGGCTGAGTCACACGGATGAAGGCAGTGGAGAATGGAGCGTGAGATGCACCATTCACCCTTTACAATCACAATGCACTCAATCCCACACCCCTCGCTCCCACGCATCTCATCCGTTCGCCCCTGACTCACACTCTGGTCCCACGCCTTGCCTTGCCGGTCTTCTCATTGGGCCACAGGCGCACATTCAGGATACCGCAGCACCTGCGCGACTGCCACATGCGTGCGTGCGTGCGTGCGTGTGTGTGTGAGAGAGCATACGAGCATAAGCGCATAAGCGCATGACCATGCATGGTTGGGGCGAGGGGGATGAGTGGGAGAGGCTATCAGTTGCACAGGCACCGACCCCACTTGCACGCCCACAGGTAGGGCAGGGAATGAGCAGCATAACTGTGACAAACGCTTTTTCTGTTTTGTCATGCAGTGACAAGATTTAATCCGAATCAGGGAAGCAGCCGTGCACTGGTGTCACGGGAACGCACGGCACGGGGTCATTTAAGCAGGGATTTTCCATCGCCCCACCAACCCCTCCAAATTCTCCGCCCTCTCCACCTCTCAGGGTCCTCCATGGAATCCTTTCCATGGCATCCTTAACATGACAAGCCTAGCAGGGCACCTGGTCGTGTTAACGAGCACGCAACGAGATACTGAGGGTGTTGCTGAGGGTGTTGCTGCAGGTGTTGCTGCGGGTGTTGCTGCGAGTGTTGATAAGGGTGTTGCTGAGGGTGTTGATAAGGGTGGTGCTGACGCTCGTGATGACTGCCTAACTGGGTGAGCGCAATGGACGGACCTGATCGTCTTGAGGCGCTCGAGGTGGTGGCGCATCTTCATGTGGAGTCCGTTGAACACGACCTGCGAGTAGCGGCCGTCCTTGTAGTCCTTGTGCCTGCTCAGGAACCAGTCGGGGACCTTGAACTGCCGCGGGTTGCCCACTATCACCATCACATTCTCCAGCTCCGCTGCTGATAGCTCGCCCGCCCTGCCAGCCCCCCGCGCACCCGCCGCACACGCACACGCACACAAAAAAAAAGGAAAGAGTGGGGAAGGGATGTGTGCGCATGAGCGGACCAGGCAAGCGGATGGTGTTGAAACCCTAAATTCCGAATACCGCTACAAAATGGTGGTTATGAGCTCGTAACTTCTGGCCGTCAACGCTGAAAACGGTATCGCATGGTGAAATACGGTACGACACTGCAAGGTTGGTGAGAGGTGCGCGTGCAACCCAATACGGCTCACATTCTCGCCTGGCACCCATAATACTGACGTGAATGGTGGCAACATGGTGGTAACTATGCGAATTCTAGGCAAGAGTTTCCCGTGTGAAGCTGCGGGCAGCACCAGGCAGTCAAGAATTTGAAGTAACGACCAGGCTACGAACGACCAGGCGACACATCACACGACGAAGAAAAGAGACAAGCAGCAAGTTGCAGGGAACACGGGGGACGCGGGTGATGGGGCGCGGTGAATGAGAGTGATAGGACGTGGAGAATGGTGGGATCTGGTACAACGTAAACGACGGAGGGAGAGGGGAGGGCCATAGAGAGCCGACGAGAGGGGGGGAGCCGGGCATACGGCTTGTTGAGGTGGACGTCGGTTATGGCATGCTTTCATTCCCCCATATCAACAGTCAAAGGTGCCAGTCGCACAGAGGAACAGGCGGCAGCACTAGGAGGTAAGGCGAGGTGCGCCGCAAGACGTGCATGATAAATGAGGGAATGCACTCAGGTCAATTGAGGAGCAAGACGCATCTGGTACGTCCGTGGACGGTGGGAGCAGCAGGACACATTTAGTATGGAGAGAGCAACAGGGCGCATTTGAAAGAATGAGACAGTGGGAGCACAGCAGAGAGGCCGCACCTAGAGTGGTAGAGGTAAGGTGTGCGGAGTGGCAGCAGCGAGCAGCCAGCTGCGATCAGGCGCTTCGTTAAAAGGCGCTGAGCGACATGAAGTGGCAAGCGCGGCCGCAGTAGCGAGGTGCCAGAGTCATCGCAGGAACTGACGAGAGAACGCAGGGACGACAGTGCTACAAGCAGTAAGAAATTGCTCCTCACATGCACACCTCACCCCACTCACCTCACCCCACTCACCTCACTCCACTCACCTCACCCCACTCACCTCAATGCGTGTGCAGTTTGAATGGCCCCATCCGCCAGAGCCAGCAGGCACATCTGAGCATGCACCATGTTGCCCCCCCCACACCATCACAGCCACCATCGGCTCTGCCCACCCAATCAGCCCCCACCCGCACATTACAAGGGAGAAGAGGAGAAATGGTTAATGCCAAATACAAGGCATGGGTGCACACGAGAAGGCATGAGTGTACACATGAGAACATGGTGGTAAGTGCATCACTGAAGGTACTTCGTGACTGATGAAAAAAGCACCACCAGCATGGCTTATTTTCAGCACCAACCAACAGCCCTACAGAAGTCTAGAGGATTACCCTCACTCTCATTTCTTGACTGCAGTGATGAAGTATCGCCGCATGTGCTCCCCTGCTCGCATCAACAACAGCGCCACATCTCAAAACGTCAGCCGAGCTCCCTACGCACCCTGATGACGTTCCATGATTCGAGGAGCTCGACACTCCAACACGGAGGTTAGTTAATGCTTAAAGAAACACATTTGCAAATGGACGGTTAACGGAAGGGAGGAGGGAGTGAAATCGACGGTCCAGAATCAGCCAAAATTGCCAAATGCTGACAAGACGGCGTCGTCCGCCCATCGCCATGATGGAACGGCATGTGCATCTCCTCTCTCTCCTCTCTCTCCTCCTTATCCTTGACCGTGCCTCATAACTGCCCGCACGGCCCAAGCCAAGTGCTGCACTCGCACGGCGCCCCATGGCGACGCACGCCCCACCACGCGCCCCAGCTCAGCGCCCACTGCTGCTGCCACTGCACCCACATGCTCTGGAGGTGGTTGTGGCTGCTGCTGGCGCTGCTGCTGCTGCTGCGGGCTGCATTGGTTGTTCATGCGCTGGCCTTGTGAAGGGCTGGAGTGGTAAGGGTGGTGTGACTGGTTAGGGAGGTGAGGTGGTGCAATGCAAGTGGCATGGGTGGTGCAAGGGGACGGGAGAGGGCAGTGACGGGAACGCGCATGTGCATGGCGGCGTGCAGGCATGCAATCATCTCAGACACGCTCTCCAGCATGCCCCATGCAGCCCTCTCGCTCTCTTACGCGTGATCACTCCTCCCCTCACCCCCCTCCGCCCTCTCCCCTGGAAACCGCACCATCCGCTCACCAGATACCCCTCCCCTCCTCGCTCCTCCTGCTCCCTCTCCTAAACCAGCAGCACCTGCCATCAATAACCCCCACGTGCATCTTCTCTCCCCGCCACCTCTCCAAGCCCCCCAACCCTTACTTCTATTCGCCCTCCCCCGCTTGCCTCTCCACGTCCCTCGTTCTGCGGACGCCCTCTTCGGCCCCTCCGCCATCTTACCCGCTCTGCCTTCCGCTCTGCCTGCACCCGCTCCGCTCGCCCCCGCCCCGCTCTGGGAGTGCGTACCTAAAAGGAAGGCGCAGAGGAGAGGGCGTGCCTGGAATGAAGGCGCAGAGCAGAGGGGAGTGGTGGGTGCAAGTGGTGCGAGTGGTGCTGAAACATGGCTGAGTCACACGGATGAAGGCAGTGGAGAATGGAGCGTGAGATGCACTTAATCCCACACCCCTCGCTCCCACGCCTCTCACCCGTTCGCCCCTGACTCACCCTCTGGCCCCACGCCTTGCCGGTTTTCTCATTGGGCCACAGGGGCAGATTCGGGATCTTGCGACACCTGCGCGTCATGCATGTGGGTGAGATGCAAGCTAGCATGAGGGCATAATGGCATGATTGGATGCGGGCATGAGTGCATGAGAGCATGACCATGGATGGTTGGGGCGAGGGGAGAAGTAATCAGTTTCACACGCACCTCCCACTTGCATGCCCACACATGCACTTGCATGCCCGCATGAGAATTTAAACCCATCACTGCCACTTGCAAAACCAACACCTTGCATTATTGCCTTGCACACCACCTCGCAGCCCATCGCCCCTTTCCCCACTCGTCCCTACTCGCCCCCCACTCGCCCCTTCCACTTCACCCCCTTTCCCCCCCCCCCCCCTCTTATGTAGTGGCAGTCCTGCTCGCCGTCCCCCGCCATCATCCCCACCTGCACACACAGCCCCGCGCCAATTTCCACCACCACGTGCCCCTCCACCAGCGCGCGCCCCGCATGCTGCACACGGGGAAGGGGAAGGGGTCGCGTGGACGGATCAGGGCAGCTTAGGAAAAAGGATGCAGTGGAGGATGGGGAGGGCGGGAGAGACGGGACGGAGGGGAAGCGGAAGGGGACGAAACGTGGGTCAAGTGCCAAAAAAAAAAGCATAAGGCAATACAGGGAGTATACACTGCAACACGCATGCAAATCAGGTCAAGTCAACTCAAGCCAGCACACACACATGCCAACTCAAGCCAGCACACACACATGCCAACTCAAGCCAGCCTAAGCCAGCGCACACAGACGTGTAAGTCAACTCACAGAGTCACAAGACCGGTGAGCGCACCCAGAGTTTTGTTCTGCTCGAGAACGAGTGAGGAGAGGCGGGAGACGGCAGGGAGGGACCAGTCCTGCGATGCAGTTCATGTTTAGTGTAGATGTCTGCAGGGACGGTAGCAGGAAAGGGGCTGAGGGGGCTTTTAAGGCGCCTCAAAAGTAATCTCCTGTTTTGAGGCGCCTCAAGAGGCGGGAGAGGGCAGGAAAGGACCAGCCTGTGATGCGGATCATGTTTAGTGTAGATGTCTGCAGGGGCGGTAGCAGGAGAGGGGTTGAAGGGGAGGGAGGGGGTGTTAGCATCCATGCGAGAAGAGGAGGAGGCAGATAGGGTTCACGTGGCAATGATTTCACGCAAGGCAGTGAAAGCGTAAAAGAGCAAGCAAGGGGAGCAAGGGGGGCAAGCAGGGAGAAGGGGGGAGGGGAAGGGAAAGGTTTGGGAAAGCAGAAAAACAACTTGAAAGAGGAACACTTTGGAAGGGACATCGACACGGGTGGCGGCGAGTTAGGAAAGGAGGAGAGGTGACGGCACGGGGAGGGGAAGGGAAAAAGGGAGGCGATTGGGCGCAAGTTCCCACCACGTCCCTGCCAGAAGAAGGCGGGTTGGTCCCTCAGAGCTTGCTCCAGCGCCAGCAGCGCGCTCACTGGGGAAGGAGAGAGAGTGGGAGGGGGAAGGTGAGGGAAAGGGGAGGCGACGAAGACAGGAGGGGAAAGGGAAAATGGGAAATCCGGAATGGTCCCCCTTCCCATGTCAAACCCGCGTCTCACTCCGCCCTCACCCCTCGTGCATCTCTCGTGGCGGGCAGCATGGGTGGCGGCTCGCGTCTCGTCGGACGCGGCGGAGGGCGGTGCTGTGAGCATGGCACCACCATTGCCGCCTTGTGAGGCGCCTCAATAGACGCGCGCACCTCCGCCGGAACGGACGAGGCGCGCGCGGAGGTTCCTTGTCTGCCCGTCCGTTGGAGGTGCCTAGTCCGTGTTTTCGTTGGGAAGGAGAGGGCGAGAGCAGGTGGGGGCAGGAGAGCAGGGACTGCAGCGCATGGGGCAGCCGGGTTGGGGGTGGCAGCAACGCACGCAGGGGAGGAATTGGAGCATTCAAACAAAAAACGTTTAATAATAATCATAAAAAAAAAAAAAACTATTAGAGAAGATAATCGGTATTCGATTTCTTGTACTACCGCAAACCACCGCGCCACCTCCGTTGCTCCATTGAATAAAAGCCTCTCTGTCTCCCTCTCATCTGCGACCCCCTTCCCCCCATTCCCATTCCCCCCCTCCCCCTCCCCCCTTCCACCTGGCCGCGCGCACCTGATGTGCCCGCTCTTCCGGTGGTGGCGGCGCGCAAGGACGGTGCGGCGCTTGAGCGCGGGCGTGGCGGCGTCGAAGACGATCAGCGGGCGGATGCAAGAAGAGCAGCTAGCGCACGTGCCGCAGGAAGCCCAGCACGTGCGCGCCCGGAAGGAGCATGGTTAGAACAGGCGGCTGAGCACACAGGACACGCTCGATCATTCGCGTTTCTATTGACAAACTTTCATCGCGTTTCTACTAGTACGATCGCGACGCGAGCAAGCTGCATAAACATCGCTGCATCCGCTTCATGTGACAGACAGTCCTTGATTGGATGAAAAAGTAGGTCTCGTACATTACCGTATCGCACCGTGGCGCAACGATCTCGACTTTCTGCATTTTGTTTGTAGTTTACCGTATTGCACCGCGACGCAACTATTTCAACTTCTGAGCCTATCAGCCTCCAACAAAGTGCCAGCGTAATCGGACGGCCCGCATGCCATGTTATCAACAATCACTTGCACTTTGTTCACCTTACCCCTCGGTTTTATACGTTACTAAACGGTACATCGTTGTTGACCTCTGTCCTTCCCCTTCCATCCCATCCAAGGACCTGACTCTACCTTGGGGATTCCAGTTTTTGTAGCCGATCCAGTTGCTTGAGAGCTTTCCCGTCCGTCATTTCCTGTTTCATTGTGCAGGGTAACCTGTTTCGCTGACTTCCCAACGACTATTGTCTCAGCTTTTCATCTTCAGTCGCCTAGCTCACCCGCGAAGAATTATAGAAAAGCGACTTACTCTCGTCCTTCCAAGGAGCAGACTAGAAATATTCGTGCTATTTAGAATACATACGTTCGAATTTGTTTCTGCCAGTCGCAACGTTTCCACCCGTTCGCGCGTTCCAGTGGGAGCGGCGAGTGGTGTGGCCGGTAGTGGACAGTAGCAATGGCTTGCCTCCTCATCATATCCGTTGCATCCGTCGCACCCGTCGCATCCGTCGCATCCGTCGCATCTGTCGCACCCGTCGCATACATGCATGGCATAGCCATTCCTGCGCTTATCCGCGTGCATTTCGTGCTGAACCGTGTCGTGCCGCCCCATGGCCGGCAATTGCGCCTGCGCTTTGGTGCTTTGTGTGCATGATGGTGTGCGAGCAGGTGGAGCACACATGGCCGCTGGAGCAACTCTACTCGCACTTCAACACCGACCCTGCCTAGGTACGCTCCTCGCACACGCCAACCGCACGCCACGCGCACGCCACGCGCTCGCCACACGCATGCCACGCGCACGCCACTCCTTGCCTGTGCATGCACCATCTCTCAGGTGTACGTACACGTATAATGTACTGGCGTGTCGTATCTCTATGTCGTTTCCCCTCCCTCCTCCCCTCTCTCGCTCTCCTCCCCTCCCCTCGTCCCCCCTGCTCCCCGCCATGCAGGGACTATCGGAGGTGCAGGTGGTGGTGAATAGGGGGCGGTATGGGGAGAACCGGCTGACGCCAGGGTACGTGATGCCGTGGTGGGTGCGGTACCTGCTGCAGTTCACCAACTTCTTCTCCCTGCTCCTCATTGTCGCCGCCGCGCTCTGCTTCCTGGCCTACGGCATTGACCCCGCCCATGACAAGGAGAACGTGAGCGCTGATGGCGCAAGGGAGGGGTGGATAGGGGGGAATGGGGTGTGTGGGTGAGGAAGAGGTGCGTGGGGTGGAGAGGGTGGGGTATGAGGGAGGGAGGAGATGGCGGAGCATGGAGGATGGGAGGGCATGGTGGCAATAGCTCGGGCGCCATGGGCCTGTGTGTGTGCCTGTGTCTTGCCAGTACCATCACGACACCCACGCTTGCGCGTTCATGCACTCCGTTCTCAACGAATTCGATGCACAGAAGATGCATGCAGCATGACGACATAGCTGCCCAAAAGCCACTCTGATGTGTCCCCTCCCCATCCCCCTCCCCCTCCCCCACCTCCTCCCCACTCGTCTCGTCCCCCCTTCCCCTACCCATCCTGTAAAACCTCCGTGACACCTTCTTCCTCTTCCTCTCCCCTCCCCTCTCTGTCCCATCTCTCTCTCCCTCTCCCCACTCGCCTCTCCCCATGCGCCCATCCCCCCTGCGCCCACGTCTCTCTCTTCCCCCCCTGTGCAGCTGTACCTGGGCATAGTGCTGGTGGTGGTGGTGGTGGTGACGGCGTCCTGCACGTACTGGCAGGAGGCGCGCTCGGAGCACATCATGGACTCCTTCCGCCGCCTCATCCCCGCCACCTCCCGCGTCCTGCGCAACGGCCGCGTGCAGGTCATGCACGCACGCCCAGATGCATCAACACTCGTGCTCACCTGCCCTGCCCACCTCCCCTTGCAATGCACATGCCGCCCCCTCCCCTCCCCCTCATCCCTCTTCTTTTTCTCCATCACGTTCTTCTCGAGTATGACTTTCTCTCAGTGCTGTGATTTCAGCAGTTCCACCCGTCCTTGCATGACACGCCCGAGCACTACTGTACCCTGTGGCTCACCGCCCGTTTCGGTCACACTCTGCCTAAATCGGCCATGCATCGCTGCTGCATCCCACTGTTATCACGGGTGGCTGGCTGCATGGGTGCATGTGTGCATGACGGATGGATGCATGTCGTCATGCATGCATGGATGCATGTCATCATGCATGCATGGATGCATGGGGTCATGGTACATGCGTGCATGCATGGGTGCGTGCATGGGTGCGTGCATGGGTGTGTGCATGGGTGCGTGCATGGGTGTGTGCATGGGTGCGTGCATGGGTGTGTGCATGGGCACATGCGTCCATGGGTGTGTGCATGGGTGTGTGCATGGGCATGTGCGTGCATGAGTGCATGCGTGCATGAGTGCGTGCGTCCATGCACACATGTGTGCAGGTGGTGGATGCATGTGAGTTGGTACCAGGAGACGTGGTGGAGCTGAGCGATGGTGACAAGGTCCCAGCCGACATTCGCCTCATACAGGCCACCGACCTCACTGTCAGTCACACCTCCCTTTCATCCACTAGAAACCCCTGGGGATGCGGGCTGGGATGTGGGTTGGGATGTGGGTTGGGATGTGGGTTGGGATGTGGATTGGGGATGAGGCGAGGGACCCGAGCCTTTTTGTGAACTTGCTCCTTAGGTCATGGCTCCCCAACCACCCTTCCAAGAGTAGCCATGCAGGAACCACGCTGCCTGCCTGTCCACCATCACACCCACCTCCTCGTCGCGTCCCCACCATACTATAACCGGAACAGTCGCTCCACTTCTCGTCGCCCCTTGTACCCCCTCACCATCTCCCACCCCAACACTACCCCATCTCCCCACTTCTTGCCCCGCACCGTTTCCTTTCCCCCACTGCATGTTGACACAACAGGTGGACAACAGTGCGCTGACGGGCGAGTCAGCGGCGGTGGAGCGCGGGGCGGAGCTGGCAGTGGATGCACAGGGCAGGCCCGTGACGGAGCCCCTGGAGGCAGCGAACCTGGTGTTCTACGCCACCATCGTGGCCAGCGGGCACGGCAGGGGCGTCGTCATTGGCACGGGGGATAACACTGCCATGGGGCAGATCGCAGGTGCGTGCTCTCCGCTGCCGCCGCTGCTACTATCTCTCATCTTGCTCTGCGACTCTCCTCTCCGTTCCTAGTTCTCGCCTCGTGCTCTTTAACACCTGCATCTTCTTACTTGCCTCTCTCTTCCCCCCTTCCCCCTCTCCCTTCTCCCCTCCCCACCCCCCCCCCTCCCGGGCAGGTCTGTCGGTGCTGACGCCCCCAGGGGACACGCCGCTAGCGGTGGAGTTGAAGCAGTTCGTGGGCATGATCAGCCTGATGGCCGTGGTCATGGGCCTTGTGTTCTTCGGCATCGCGCTGCTGCTGGGCGACCCCTTCCTGCAGACCGTGGTGTTCGGCATCGGCATTATCGTTGCTAATGTGCCCGAGGGACTCATGGCTGCTGTCACGGTGCGGGAATGGCGAGGGAGGAGGGAGGGTGGGGAAGGGGGAAGGAAGGTGGGAGGGAGGGATTGAGGGAGGGAGGGAGAGAGGTAGAGGGAAGTGAGAGTGGGGTGGGAGGGCTGGAATCGTGGCCAGGCCATGTGCATGCTGGGCTCGTGATGTCATGTCACGCCTCACATTGCATCACTGCGTGTATGCACCATCAGTGTATAATTCATCAATAATGCATCTGAACGGCATCCGACTCGTGCCGTGTCCCATCTGCCGTGCGTGCTTCTCCCTCCGTGTGCCACACAGGTGTCCCTGGCCCTGACAGCGAAGCGCATGCATGTGCGCAGTGTTCTGGTGAAGAACCTGCAGGCCGTGGAGACCCTTGGCTCCTGCACTGTCATCGCCTCTGATAAGACCGGCACCCTCACCCAGAACCGCATGACCGTCCGTGCGTGCCCCCTCCTCCCTCCCTCCTTGTTCCTCCTCCGCCCCTCCTCCTTTCCTCCACCCAATTTCTGCAATACCTCCCTTTCTCTCCCCTTCTCCCTTCCTCCGTTCCGTTACCCTCCTTTGCTTTCTTTCTCCCCCCATTATCGAACCCTGCCCCCACCCACGCCTAACTGATGAAGTTCCAACTGGTTCTGCTGTGCTTTTCCTACTCCTCCTCCCTACCCTTCACTCTCCTTCCCTCGTCTTCTCTGGTCTCTATACCTCCTTCCTCTCCCTCTCTCCCTCTTTCCTCCCCCCTACCAGAGCACTGCTGGTACGACCTGCGGGTGTTTGATTGTCCCGTGGTGCGCAACCGGGTGGAGTGGGAGGAGGTGATGCGAGGCCCGGCAGCAGCGACAGCGTACGAGCCGCAGTCACCCACCTTCCAGAAGCTGCAGCTCGTCATCTCGCTCTGCAGCAACGCCGTCTTCCTCACAGGTCCGCTCCGCGCTCTCGTGACATCTCCTTGCTGATCCGCACGGCATGGCACTGTGTTGTTGCCGTTCCTTGCACGCCTCTTTTATCCATGCGGCAGTGCTGGAAGGCGTGTCTTGTCTTTGGTTTGTCTGTGCTCTCACATGACTCCATTCCATGCATGCATCTCCTCCTGTACTCTTCCAACCCTCCCTTACCACTCAACCCCCACCCTCTTCCCCTCTCCCTTATCCCTCCCTACCACGCTCCCCACTCTTCACCACACGCAGAGGGTCTGGTGATGGGCATAGAGATGCGGCGGCGCGAATTCGACCTGCATGCGGCGCCGTGTGCAGGGGATGCGTCGGAGCAGGGGCTGCTGCGCTTTGTGGAGCCGCTGCGGCCCGCCAAGGAGCTGAGGGACCTGTATGCCAAGCTCTTCGAGATCAAGTTCTCCTCCGCCAACAAGTGGCAGCTCTCCATCCACGTGTATGGCACTGGGGGGGGGGAGGGGAGGGGGAAGGGAAGTGGGGGGGGGGGGGGAGGAGGTGGGGGACGAGGGGGGGAAGTCGTAGGCGGGGAAGGTGCCTTTTTTTGAGTTGAATCAAAACCCCCTACCACTCCTCTCTACAGCCTGTGCACTCGATCCCCGCACACCTTCCACCCATTCCCTATCCCCTCCCCTCTCCTCCCTTCCCCTCCCTCCCCCCTTTCAACCCCACAGGCAGTCGGCGCAGAACCGGTTACCGCCAGTGCTGGTGATGAAGGGCGCGCCAGAGACGGTGCTGGAGCGGTGCTCGTACATCATGGTGAACGGGCAGGTGTACGACCTCACCAGCGACAGCCGCAAGCACTTCCAGGAGGCGTACCAGCAGATGGGCGGCTTTGGGGAGCGCGTGCTCGGCATGGCCTTCCGGGACCTCGAAGGGTTCACCAACGAGTTTGCGGTGAGATGCACGTGCTGCTGCTGTGGCTGTTGCTGCTGTGGTGTCGTGCTTGGCCTTTCAGTGTTCTCTTGCTCTGCTCTGCTGCTTATGCGCCGCCTAGCTCTACCCGCACGTGCTCGTTCACCCCAACCCCCTCTTGTCCATCCCTCCCCTCTCTCTCCCACCTTTCCCTCTTCCTCCCTTCCCTTTTTCCCCTTCCCCTTTCTCGTCTCACCCCCCCGCCTCCTCCTCTCGTGGCAGTTCACAAGCAAGCCACAGCCCAACTTCCCGACGGGCGGGCTGACGTTCGTGGGCATGGTGAGCCTGATGGACCCGCCGCGCGCAGGCGTGCCTGAGGCCGTGGCGCAGTGCCGGCGCGCTGCTGTGAAGGTCATCATGGTCACGGGCGACCACCCCATCACCGCCACCGCCATCGCCACCAAGGTACATGGGAGAATCTCAGGGGGATGGGCAGGGGGGCGGGAGGGAGAGGGGGAAGAGGGGGGAGAGGGTCGGGAAATGTGTAAACGTGAGGCCCCGGGGGTTGTCAGCCATGGGGAAGAGGTGAAGGTGAAGGTAATCATGGCCACGGGAGACCAGCCCCCTCCTCCCTGCTCCATCACTACTTCACCTCCTCCTCTCTCACTCTCTCCCTCACTCCCACCCTTTCACTGTCTGGAAGTGCCACCCTGGGTGCCCCGTGGCGCACGGGCAGGTGGGCATATTGGAGAGCAGCAAGGTGGAGGCGGGCAGTGCGGCGGTGGTGACGGGCGATGACATCAGGGCGTGGAGTGCACTCACCCCCACGGAGGAGATTCTCAAATGGGACGAGGCGCTCTCGCACGACCAGGTGTGATTCTCAATTCCAGGGAGGAGATTCTCTTTCCCCTTCTCTTCCGCCACGCCCTCCCTTTCCTTTAACGGATTCACTGCGCTACCTGCAAGCACCCACTCTCATCGCTCTCTCCTATCCTGCTCCCCAAGCACTGCAACCAGCATGTCTTTTCACGCTCTTCTCCACCTTCCTTGTTCTCCTCCCTGACCCCACTCCGCTCTGCTCTCCCTTCCCCCCTCCTTCCCCCCGCTTTCCCCCGCTTTCCCCTTTTTTCCCCTTTTCCCCCTTTTCCCCCCTTTCCCCCCTTTACCTCCTTCTTCCCCTTTTCCCGCCCTTTCTCCCCTTTCCCCTCTTTCCCTCCTTCCCCCCTTGCCCCCTTTCCCCCTCTCCCCCCTCCCCCGGGCACCAGGTAATCTTTGCGCGGGTGTCCCCATCGCACAAGCTGCTGCTGGTGGAGCACTGCCAGCGGCGGGGGGAGATAGTGGCAGTCACGGGGGACGGGGTCAACGACGCCCCTGCGCTTAAGAAGGCAGACATCGGCATCGCCATGGGCATTGCCGGGTGAGGTCAATTGCCCCTCTCACTGCACATTCCCTGTGTGTGTGTAATTTGCCGGATGGCTATCCCTGTGTGCGGGATTGATGCACTTGACTTGACTCCCTCTTTGGCCCAACCACAAACTCTCCCTCACTCATCCTCCCCACAACCCCCCACCGTTGATCTCCCTCCACCCAGCAAGAATGTGTCCAAGGAGGCAGCGGACATGATCCTCATTGACGACAGCTTTACCTCTTTCTCCTCTGCCCTATTCCCTTTGACCCTCTCCCTCCCTCCCCTCACTGCACTCCCCGCCCAGCAAGGACGTGTCCAAGGAAGCAGCGGACATGATCCTGATGGACGACAACTTTGCGTCCATAGTGAGTGGCGTGGAGGAGGGCCGGCTCATCTTTGACAACCTGAAGAAGACCATCTGCTACGCGCTCACCGTCAACGTGCCGCAGCTCGTGCCTTACCTTGTGAATGTGCTGCTCGGCGTGCCCCTTGCGCTCTCCACCGTGCTCATGCTCGCCATCTGCCTTGGCACCGACATGCTGCCCGCCATCTCCCTCGCTTACGAGGAGAAGGTCAGCGTTGCTCAGGGGATGGGAAGGGGGAGAAGGAGGTGAGGAAGGGCAGGGCATGGATAAGGGAAGGGGAAGGGGGGGGGAGGAGGAGACAGGAATCGGTCGGTCGTTATAAACCGGCCGCCAAGGAAGCCGGCAACTCTATAGACGTCTCCCTGTCCCTCCCCCATTCCCCTCCACTCCCTCCTCCCTGCCACCTGCCTTCCCGTCCTCTCTCCCCTCTCCCCCCATGCAGGAGTCGGACATCATGGACCGGCCGCCACGCAACCCAAAGAGGGACCGGCTGGTGAGCTGGCGGCTGATCAGCCACGCGTATCTGCTCATCGGCGCCGTGCAGACGCTCGCTGGCTTCCTCGCCTACCTCGCTGTCTTCAACGACTATGGCTATCGCCCCAATGTAACCACCATGCTGCCCCGCTGCCTCCCTCCCTGCTTGCCTGTCGTGAGAATGGTTATGACCGACCAGCATGGTTTTCTCGTGACTGCTTGCTGATTACTGGTAAGTTGCTGTTATCGGTTATTGGTTACTGCCAGTAACTTACTGAATCAAGGAGTTTTGATGCAACCTACGCCTTGTTGCTATCACCCATATAACCCAAGTCCTATCACCTTCGCTCCTCCGTCCCGCCCCTCCACCCACCACAGATGCTACAGCGGATCGGGTTTGACTTCGCGCATAGCCCCATCATCTGCACGTTCAACAGTGCGCAAGAGCCCTACGACTGCGGGTACGGCTGCGGCCCTCCCAACTACTCCCTCGCCATGCCCGACACCTCCTCGCCGCCCGCGGCACAGCCCTACTGCTACCAGGGCTGCCCCATCCCCAACAGCAACGTGACGCCAGTGGTGGTGGATCCGTGGAGTGAGATGGGCGCGGCGGGGTTCAAGGGCCAGCAGTTCTGTGCGCTCACCTGCAACACGTCGCCTTCTGCCTTTCCGGGCGGTGTACTGCCGTCGCAGTGCTCCAGCCCGTCGCTCTCCTCCAATGTGAGTGCTTCTCATGCGCCGCAGTGCAGACTCAGTCCCTGCGCGTGGAACTGTGGTTGCTGCGTCGCTGCTTTGCTGCTTCCGTGTGCGTTGCTATGTCCTGCTTCCCTGTCACTCTGACCAAGCCTCCACATGCTTGCCCGCGTGACTCCAATTCCCGCTCCTATTTTTCCCTACACTCCTCCCACCCCTCCTCGTGACCCGTGCTCCCCTCGAGTTCTCTTCCAACCCAACCATCTTGTCCCACTCCCCATCTCCCCCCCTTCTCAGGTGGGGTTCCCAGGGCGGCAGCAGCTGGGAAAGCCGCTGGGGCCGTACAACGGGTGGTACTGGTGGGCAGGGCGAAAGCAATTGCAGCCCAACACGCAGTACCAGGTGGAGGTGTTGCGCTATGCCCAGTCCGCCTACTTTGTCGCTGTCATCGTCACCCAGTGGGCCAACCTGCTTGTCTGCAAGACCCGCCGCCTCTCGCTCTTCCAGCAGGTCGGTGCTGCCAATGCAGGTGCGGTGCTCCTCGGCGTGTTTCACACAGAGCCATGGATCTTTCCTTTCTCTTTCTACGTATGCCCTCTGCCAACCCCTGACTCCCTGCAACATGCCTTTACTCCCATAGAGTTTTGGATGCCACATAAGCCTTCAGCAGCATGCTCAAGCTCTAAAGAAAGGAGCACAGAGCACTTAACGAAGGTTTTTCAGGAGGAGAAAATAAACGCTTCCTATTCCCTCTGCCTAATCCTACCTCCACATGTCTCTCCAGGGCATGCGCAACCACGTGCTGACCTTCTCGCTGTTCTTTGAGACGCTGGTGGCAGCAGCGCTGCTGTACTGGCCGTTCCTGCAGGAGGTGTTTGACACGCGGCCCCTCAATGTGCTCTACTGGTTCATCGGCGTGCCCTTTGCCCTCACCATCCTCGCCATTGGAGAGCTCCGCAAATGGCTCATTCGCAAGTTCCCAGGTCTGTCTTCTCGCTCTTCTCATTCTTTTCGCCCCTCTCATCCTTTCGCCCCTCTCATCCTTTTCGCCCCTCTCATCCTTTTCGCCCCTCATTCTTTTCGCCCCTCTCATCCACCTGCCCCTCTCCTCCTCTCACCTCTCACCCTCTGCCTTTTCAGCTGTTCAAGTCTGTTTGTTTCTTCTTCAGCTGTTCAGGTTCTTAAAGGGATCTTGAGATGCTTCAAAAATCGCAACCCGAATCTGATATGTTGGCCTGGTGTGCTCTCATTGTGCCTGTGGCTTGGTGCATGCAGGAGGATGGATGGACAGATGGACCAATTGGTAATGCTATGCTCCGTTCGTCAAACTCAAGTGTCCCCCATGCCAGCCACATCGCTCTGTATCTCATACCGCATCACAACCTAGTACTACCTCCCAGCCTGTGCTCCTCTTGAAACTGCCGCCCCTCTAGATCACCCTTATTAGCCTTGCTTGGTTCTCATCTGGGCAATAATAATACCTTACAGCGTCTCTCTCGCCCGAGCAATCTGGCGCACGTGTTGTTCATCATGGTTAATCTATTATACCGTAGTAATGTGATATGTAGCTGTTGGTGCAGCAGTGTGCCACACCTGAAGGAAGATTGTGAGAACAAGCGACATGTGCAAAGTGTATGAAATGAAATGGAAATACATGGAGAGGAAGTAGAAAATAGTGTACTTTAGTGAAATAATATAAAAGACCTGGCATCCAATGCGTATGGCCAGTGAGAGTGATGCATCGATCAGTATGGTCGGTATGCGCGGTACCGTCATCACCGGATAGTAGACAGTGTTGAATAGTAGACAGGGGTTGTCTATTATCCGGGTGTCTCTTATAAACAGGCTAGCCTCATTATAAGACACCTTTTTGTGTGTACGGGTTAAGCAAGTGTAGGAGTTAGGGGCAGATGTATAACGTGTTGGGAAGAAAAGTAGCCCTTAGGATCTTTGCAAGGGTGAACTCGGGGTAGAGAATGATGTATTAGCGGAAGCTTTAGTGAAGAGATTTGAACCACCTTGCGCTGGTATGTGAGGGCAAAGTAGATTGATTAAAGCAAAGAGATACAAGTTTTTATAAGAGTACAAGGAATACGAACAGGTACAATTATAACTACTACACTGTTGCTGTTGCAGTTCGATACAGTGACGACTCGGGCAACTGCTCTGTAACGAGTCAGTTGTGTGTCCTTGCTGTCGCGCTGTACTTGTCAGGTCAAAGGTCGCTGACCTTTGACTTTCGCGTAACCTCCAGCAACCTCTCAACCTCCGAGGGTTGACTCGTGGGTGCCTCGATATGACTCGCTTCGCTTCTGGTGCGGTGTTTCGACACGACAGAGGCGCTTAAGATTCACTGTTTCCAACACTCCCCCCCTTCAATTCTGGAGTGTCGCTGCTGATGACGTGGCTCTGTCCAGTCAGCAGCATGCATTACTCGAATTTCTGCTTTCCAAGTTTCTTGGTGGAAGGGCGGTGATCAGATGGGCTATGAAGCAGATCGTGATGGAAAGCGGGAGAATGCGTGATGGAAGCGGAGAATGCGGTGATGGTTGCGAGAAGCGGGTGATGGAAAGCGGAATGCGTGATCAGCGGGAGAATGGGGCAGGGTGATGGAAAGCGGGAGAATGCAGGTGATGGAAAGCGGGAGAATGGGGCGGGGTGATGAAAGCGGGCGAACGGGGGGCGGGTGAAAAGCGGAGAATGGGCGGGTGAGGTAGCGTTCTGAATGGGGCGGGGGAGGACGAGTTGGGGCGGGTGAGTTCCGAGATGGGGCTGGGTATGGAAAGCGGGAGAAGGGGCGGGGTGATGGAAGGGAGCATCCCAGTCTGGTAGCGCGTATGGGCGGGTGAGAAACCGGATGGGGTGGGGTGGAGCGGGGTGGGGGGGTGATGGAAAGCGGGAGAATGGGGCGGGGTATGGAAAGGGGGATGGGGGGGGTGATGGAAGGGGGAATGGGGGGGGGGGTGATGGGGGGGTGATGGAAAGGGGTGGGGGGGGGTGGGGGTGGGGCGGGGTGATGCGGGGGGGCGTGAGGAAAGCGGAGAATGGGCGGGGTGATGGAAAGCGGGAGAATGGGGCGGGGTGATGGAAAGCGGGAGAATGGGGCGGGGTGATGGAAAGCGGGAGAATGGGGCGGGTGATGGAAAGCGGGAGAATGGGGCGGGGTGATGGAAAGCGGGAGAATGGGGCGGGGTGATGGAAAGCGGGAGAATGGGGCGGGGTGATGGAAGGGGAGAAGGGGCGGGGTGATGGAAAGCGGGAGAATGGGGCGGGGTGATGGAAAGCGGGAGAATGGGGCGGGTGATGGAAAGCGGGAGAATGGGGCGGGGTGATAGAAAGCGGGAGAATGGGGCGGGGTGATGGAAAGCGGGAGAATGGGGCGGGGTGATGGAAAGCGGGAGAATGGGGCGGGTGATGGAAAGCGGGAGAATGGGGCGGGTGATGGAAAGCGGGAGAATGGGGCGGGGTGATGGAAAGCGGGAGAATGGGGCGGGTGATGGAAAGCGGGAGAATGGGGCGGGGATGGAAAGCGGAGAATGGGGCGGGGTGATGGAAAGCGGAGAATGGGGCGGGGTGATGGAAAGCGGGAGAATGGGGCGGGGTGATAGAAAGCGGGAGAATGGGGCGGGGTGATGGAAAACGGGAGAATGGGGCGGGGTGATGGAAAGCGGAGAATGGGCGGGGTGATGGAAAGCGGGAGAATGGGGCGGGTGATGGAAAGCGGGAGAATGGGGCGGGGTGATGGAAAGCGGGAGAATGGGGCGGGTGATGGAAAGCGGGAGAATGGGGCGGGTGATGGAAAGCGGGAGAATGGGGCGGGTGATGGAAAGCGGGAGAATGGGGCGGGGTGATGGAAAGCGGGAGAATGGGGCGGGGTGATGGAAAGCGGGAGAATGGGGCGGGGTGATGGAAAGCGGGAGAATGGGGCGGGTGATGGAAAGCGGGAGAATGGGGCGGGGTGATAGAAAGCGGGAGAATGGGGCGGGGTGATGGAAAGCGGGAGAATGGGGCGGGGTGATGGAAAGCGGGAGAATGGGGCGGGTGATGGAAAGCGGGAGAATGGGGCGGGTGATGGAAAGCGGGAGAATGGGGCGGGGTGATGGAAAGCGGAGAGGGGCGGGGTGATGGAAAGCGGGAGAATGGGGCGGGTGATGGAAAGCGGAGAATGGGGCGGGGTGATGGAAAGCGGGAGAATGGGGCGGGTGATGGAAAGCGGGAGAATGGGGCGGGGTGATGGAAAGCGGGAGAATGGGCGGGGTGATGGAAAGCGGAGAATGGGGCGGGGTGATGGAAAGCGGGAGAATTGGGCGGGGTGATGGAAAGCGGGAGAATGGGGCGGGTGATGGAAAGCGGGAGAATGGGGCGGGGTGATGGAAAGCGGGAGAATGGGGCGGGGTGATGGAAAGCGGGAGAATGGGGCGGGTGATGGAAAGCGGGAGATGAAGCGGGAGAATTGGGCGGGGTGATGGAAAGCGGGAGAATGGGGCGGGGTGAGGGAAAGCGGGAGAATGGGGCGGGGTGATGGAAAGCGGAGAATGGGGCGGGGTGATGGAAAGCGGAGAATGGGGCGGGGTGATGGAAAGCGGGAGAATGGGGTGGGGTGATGGAAAGCGGGAGAATGGGGCGGGTGATGGAAAGCGGGAGAATGGGGCGGGGTGATGGAAAGCGGGAGAATTGGGCGGGGTGATGGAAAGCGGGAGAATGGGGCGGGGTGATGGAAAGCGGGAGAATAGGGCGGGGTGATGGAAAGCGGGAGAATGGGGCGGGGTGATGAAAGCGGAGAATGGGGCGGGGTGATGGAAAGCGGGAGAATGGGGCGGGTGATGGAAAGCGGGAGAATGGGGCGGGGTGATGGAAAGCGGGAGAATGGGGCGGGTGATGGAAAGCGGGAGAATGGGGCGGTGATGGAAAGCGGGAGAATGGGGCGGGGTGATGGAAAGCGGGAGAATGGGGCGGGGTGATGGAAAGCGGGAGAATGGGGCGGGTGATGGAAAGCGGAGAATGGGGCGGGGTGATGGAAAGAGGGAGAATGGGGCGGGGTGATGGAAATCGGGAGAATGGGGCGGGTGATGGAAAGCGGGAGAATGGAAAGCGGGAGAATGGGGCGGGTGATGGAAAGCGGGAGAATGGGGCGGGTGATGGAAAGCGGAGAATGGGGCGGGGTGATGGAAAGCGGGAGAATGGGGCGGGTGATGGAAAGCGGGAGAATGGGGCGGGTGATGGAAAGCGGGAGAATTGGGCGGGGTGATGGAAAGCGGGAGAATTGGGCGGGGTGATGGAAAGCGGGAGAATGGGGCGGGGTGATGGAAAGCAGGAGAATGGGGCGGGGTGATGGAAAGCGGGAGAATGGGGCGGGGTGATGGAAAGCGGGAGAATGGGGGGGTATGGAAAGCGGGAGAATGGGGCGGGGTGATGGAAAGCGGGAGAATGGGGTGGGGTGATGGAAAGCGGGAGAATGGGGCGGGTGATGGAAAGCGGAGAATGGGCGGGGTGATGGAAAGCGGAGAATGGGGCGGGGTGATGGAAAGCGGGAGAATTGGGCGGGGTGATGGAAAGCGGGAGAATGGGGCGGGGTGATGGAAAGCGGGAGATGGGCGGGGTGATAGAAAGCGGGAGAATGGGGCGGGGTGATGGAAAGCGGGAGAATGGGGCGGGGTGATGGAAAGCGGAGAATGGGCGGGTGATGGAAAGAGGGAGAATGGGGCGGGGTGATGGAAAACGGGAGAATGGGGCGGGGTGATGGAAAGCGGGAGAATGGGCGGGTGATGGAAAGCGGAGAATGGGGCGGGGTGATGGAAAGCGGGAGAATGGGGCGGGTGATGGAAAGCGGGAGAATGGGGCGGGTGATGGAAAGCGGGAGAATGGGGCGGGTGATGGAAAGCGGGAGAATGGGGCGGGGTGATGGAAAGCGGGAGAATGGGGCGGGGTGATGGAAAGCGGGAGAATGGGCGGGGTGATGGAAATGGGATGGGCGGGTGATGGAAAGCGGGAGAATGGGGCGGGGTGATAGAAAGCGGGAGAATGGGGCGGGGTGATGGAAAGCGGGAGAATGGGGTGGGGTGATGGAAAGCGGGAGAATGGGGCGGGGTGATAGAAAGCGGGAGAATGGGGCGGGGTGATGGAAAGCGGGAGAATGGGGCGGGTGATGGAAAGCGGGAGAATTGGGCGGGGTGATGGAAAGCGGGAGAATGGGGCGGGGTGATGGAAGAGGGAGAATGGGGCGGGTGATGGAAAGCGGGAAATGGGGGGGGGATGGAGCGGGAGAATGGGGTGGGGTGATGGAAAGCGGGAGAATGGGGCGGGGTGA